CTCTTTGCAAATCAAATCAACGACCGGTCTGAATCTGGACTTTTCATCATGGATGCATACTAATAATTAGGGGCAGAATGATGTTAGTGTTTGATATTTAGCTCTGATCTGACAACAAGCTAGTCTTTATTAATCCTTTGATGCCTGTTATTGTCAATAAGCAGCAAACTGCTTGTATTACACTGCAAAAAAATGTAATTCTAAGTCAATTTTTCTTAAAATAAGAGCATTTTTTTTCTTGAATTGAGCAGGTAAGTGAGGCATTTTGCCATTGGATCAATACAATGTGCATTTAAAATAAAAAAAAACTTCAGTCTCTTATTTCAAGTGCATAATATGTAATTATCTTCTTCATCATCTTATCATCTTATTTTCCTACTCATATTAAGGGTAAATACAATTATTTTAGGACATTTTTACTCATTTTCCGAACATTTTTGCAGTGTAGGCAAACAGCTGCCACACACTGGAAAAAAATCTAAATCTAGATAAGTCATTTTTTCTTAAATTCAGTGCATTTGTTCTTGTTTTGAGGAGGTAAAAGAGACATTTTGCCAATGGAACATGAAAATTTACATTTAAAATAAGAAAATACAATTGCATTGTCCTATTTGTAGTGCATATTATCTAATTATCTTATTTTAAGAGTAAAAATACTCATTCAGTTGGCAAACTGTCTCATTTACCTAAATTAATGGTAAATACACTTAATTTAAAAAAAACTTTTACTTATTTCTAGATTGTTTTTCCAGTATAGTGTTTTTGCATCACCCCACACTGGAAAAATTATCTAGAAATGTCTTAAATTAAGTGTATTTACCCTTAATTTGATTAGGTAAATGAGATAGTTTGCCAATGGGATGATTATTTTTACTCATCCTATAAGATAATTAGATAATATGCACCAGAGGCGTAGCCAGAAAAAGTTAAGGGTGTCCAGGCAATAACCAATGTTCACTGAGGGGGGGCCGAAAGCGGATAGGCACCACAACCTCAGGGTCAAGCTACACCGTTCCAACATGAAAAAATCCATATTTTCTAAATAAAGACAAACTATATTTTCCTACAGCCTTTGCTAACAAATAGATGCATATATTTAAACATC